ATCTCACTGTTGTATATGGGACTCATCTATAGTGGGTGGGGAGTCTCACTGTTGTATATGGGACTCATCTATAGTGGGTGGGGAGTCTCACTGTTGTATATGGGACTCATCTATGGTGGGTGGGGAGTCTCACTGTTGTATAAGGGACTCATCTATAGTGGGTAGGAAATCTCACTGTTGTATATGGGACTCATCTATAGTGGGTGGAGAGTGTCACTGTTATATATGGGACTCATCTATAGTGGGTGGGGAGTGTCACTGTTGTATATGGAGACTCATCTATAGTGGGTGGGGAGTGTCACTGTTATATATGGGACTCCTCTATAGTGGGTGGGGAGTTTCACTGTTGTATATGGGACTCCTCTATAGTGGGTGGGGAGTGTCACTGTTATATATGGGACTCATCTATAGTGAGTGGGGAGTGTCACTTTTGTATATGGGGACTCAGCTATAGTGGGTGGGGAGTCTCACTGTTGTATATGGGACTCATCTATAGTGGGTGGGGAGTCTCACTGTTGTATATGGGACTCATCTATGGTGGGTGGGGAGTCTCACTGTTGTATAAGGGACTCATCTATAGTGGGTAGGAAATCTCACTGTTGTATATGGGACTCATCTATAGTGGGTGGAGAGTGTCACTGTTATATATGGGACTCATCTATAGTGGGTGGGGAGTGTCACTGTTGTATATGGAGACTCATCTATAGTGGGTGGGGAGTGTCACTGTTATATATGGGACTCCTCTATAGTGGGTGGGGAGTTTCACTGTTGTATATGGGACTCCTCTATAGTGGGTGGGGAGTGTCACTGTTATATATGGGACTCATCTATAGTGAGTGGGGAGTGTCACTTTTGTATATGGGGACTCAGCTATAGTGGGTGGGGAGTCTCACTGTTGTATATGGGACTCCTCTATAGTGGGTGGGGATGTCTCACTGTTGTATATGGGACTCAGCTATAGTGGGTAGGAAATCTCACTGTTGTATATGGGACTCATCTATAGTGAGTGGAGAGTGTCACTGTTGTATATGGGACTCATCTATAGTGGGTGGAGAGTGTCACTGTTGTATATGGGACTCATCTATAGTGGGTGGGGAGTGTCACTGTTGTATATGGGACTCCTCTAAAGTGGGTGGGGAGTGTCACTGTTGTATATGGGACTCCTCTATAGTGGGTGGGGAGTGTCACTGTTGTATATGGAACTCATCCATAGTGGGTGGGGAGTGTCACTGTTGTATATGGGACTCCTCTATAGTGGGTGGGGAGTCTCACTGTTGTATAAGGGACTCATCTAAAGTGGGTGGGGAGTCTCACTGTTATATATGGGACTCCTCTATAGTGGGTGGAGAGTGTCATTGTTGTATATGGGACTCATCTATAGTGGTTAGGGAGTCTCACAGTTGTATATGGGACTCCTCTATAGTGGGTGGGGAGTGTCACTGTTGTATATGGGACTCATCTATAGTGGGTGGGGAGTGTCACTGTTGTATATGGGACTTATCTATAGTGGGTGGGGAGTGTCATTGTTGTATATGGGACTCATCTATAGTGGGTAGGAAATCTCACTGTTGTATATGGGACTCATCTATAGTGGGTGGGGAGTCTCACTGTTGTATATGGGACTCATCTATAGTGGGTGGGGAGTCTCACTGTTGTATATGGGACTCATCTATGGTGGGTGGGGAGTCTCACTGTTGTATAAGGGACTCATCTATAGTGGGTAGGAAATCTCACTGTTGTATATGGGACTCATCTATAGTGGGTGGAGAGTGTCACTGTTATATATGGGACTCATCTATAGTGGGTGGGGAGTGTCACTGTTGTATATGGAGACTCATCTATAGTGGGTGGGGAGTGTCACTGTTATATATGGGACTCCTCTATAGTGGGTGGGGAGTTTCACTGTTGTATATGGGACTCCTCTATAGTGGGTGGAGAGTGTCACTGTTATATATGGGACTCATCTATAGTGAGTGGGGAGTGTCAGTTTTGTATATGGGGACTCAGCTATAGTGGGTGGGGAGTCTCACTGTTGTATATGGGACTCCTCTATAGTGGGTGGGGAGTCTCACTGTTGTATATGGGACTCAGCTATAGTGGGTAGGAAATCTCACTGTTGTATATGGGACTCATCTATAGTGAGTGGGGAGTGTCACTGTTGTATATGGGACTCATCTATAGTGGGTGGAGAGTGTCACTGTTGTATATGGGACTCATCTATAGTGGGTGGGGAGTGTCACTGTTGTATATGGGGACTCCTCTATAGTGGGTGGGGAGTTTCACTGTTATATATGGGACTCATCTATAGTGGGTGGGGAGTGTCACTGTTGTATATGGGACTCCTCTAAAGTGGGTGGGGAGTGTCACTGTTGTATATGGGACTCCTCTATAGTGGGTGGGGAGTGTCACTGTTATATATGGGACTCCTCTATAGTGGGTGGGGAGTCTCACTGTTATATATGGGACTCATCTATAGTGGGTGGGGAGTCTCACTGTTATATATGGGACTCCTCTATAGTGGGTGGGGAGTGTCACTGTTGTATATGGGACTCATCTATAGTGGGTGGGGAGTCTCACTGTTGTATATGGGACTCCTGTATAGTGGGTGGGGAGTGTCACTTATATATGGGACTCATCTATAGTGGGTGGGGAGTGTCACTGTTGTATATGGGACTCCTCTATAGTGCGTGGGGAGTCTCACTGTTATATATGGAGACTCATCTATAGTGGGTGGGGAGTGTCACTGTTGTATATTGGACTCATCTATAGTGGGTGGGGAGTCTCACTGTTGTATATGGGACTCCTCTATAGTGGGTGGGGAGTCTCACTGTTGTATATGGGACACATCTATAGTGGGTGGGGAGTGTCACTGTTGTATATGGGACTCATCTATAGTGGGTGGGGAGTCTCACTGTTGTATATGGGACTCATCTATAGTGGGTGGGGAGTGTCACTGTTGTATATGAGACTCATCTATAGTGGGTGGGGAGTGTCACTGTTGTATATGGGACTCCTCTATAGTGGGTGGGGAGTGTCACTGTTGTATATGGGACTCATCTATAGTGGGTGGAGAGTGTCACTGTTGTATATGGGACTCATCTATAGTGGGTGGGGAATGTCACTGTTGTATATGGGACTCCTCTATAGTGCGTGGGGAGTCTCACTGTTGTATATGGGACTCATCTATAGTGGGTAGGAAATCTCACTGTTGTATATGGGACTCATCTATAGTGGGTGGAGAGTGTCACTGTTGTATATGGGACTCATCTATAGTGGGTGGGGAGTGTCACTGTTGTATATGGGACTCCTCTATAGTGGGTGGGGAGTGTCACTGTTGTATATGGGACTCATCTATAGTGGGTGGAGAGTGTCACTGTTGTATATGGGACTCATCTATAGTGGGTGGAGAGTGTCACTGTTGTATATGGGACTCATCTATAGTGGGTGGGGAATGTCACTGTTGTATATGGGACTCCTCTATAGTGCGTGGGGAGTCTCACTGTTGTATATGGGACTCATCTATAGTGGGTAGGAAATCTCACTGTTGTATATGGGACTCATCTATAGTGGGTGGAGAGTGTCACTGTTGTATATGGGACTCATCTATAGTGGGTGGGGAGTGTCACTGTTGTATATGGGACTCCTCTATAGTGGGTGGGGAGTGTCACTGTTGTATAAAGTCCTATATACAAGACAGCGTAGCCACCACCGCCACCCATCAGAGGAGCCGCACAGACAGACGTGGATTGCGCTGGCAAGTCCAACATCTCCGTGCCGGCCTTCACCGTTGCTCGCTAACAGCACCTAGGTACGTGCACGCGTGTGTGTTCAACCTCTTTCGCAACGTACGTAGCCAACCGTGCTAATTGGAGGTACGGGGGAAGGAGAACAAACTGAACACAACAACAGGCAGTTCGAAAGAAATTCGTTTTCAATCGAGATTATTTTAAAGTGCAGCATAGCTGTCAGTGGCTTCCTAATATCGGAAGGAAGAGCGTTCCAGACGGCCCGCGGAAGCGCGTGCGAAAGCGCGAGATGCGGCGGCCGTCTTTCTTCAACAGCTGGCCAAAAGTGTAGTGTATAGCGTAGCGTATAGAGTAATGCACAGTAATGTAGTGTATAGTGTAGTGTAATGCGGAGAGTAGTTTAGTGTATAGCGTAGTGTTATAGTGTAGCGTATAGCGTAATTCACAGAGTAGTGTAGTGTACAGTAGTGCAGTGTATAGTGCAGGGTATAGTGTAGTATATAGTATTGCAGTGTATCGTATAGCATATATAGCAGCTGAGCCAAAAGCCGGAGTTGGCGTGATGATGGTTCATGCTTTTTGACCGAGATCAGCGGAGAGGTATTGTGGTTCAATTGCGGCAAGCACTTTGTGTGTAATGAGAGCGACACTCATAACTGCTATAAGTTTTCTAAATGATAAGCAACTTTGTTGGGCTATCATGTGCGGACAGGTCGCTTATGAAAAATAAGTTAATACCATCCCCATGCAAGGATGGGGATGGTTCAGTTTTATTTCAATGTGTTCTGGGCGATTTATAGATTTAAAGCTTTCATGACTGCTAGGATCCATACTCTTTGGTTCTATTGGGCAAAGTCACGTAGGTAAAAAATAAAATAACAAAAAAAATTAACAAAAAATCACGGCGAGCGATTTGTCTACCCTTGCGTGTACTCTCCTTTGGTGTTGCTGTAGCGATTGTTTGTTGTAACGTTCTGACCCAGTGCCCCTACTGGACACCCGCGAAAATGAGCTTTACGGCTCATCAGATTCCGCCGGTAGAAATCAATATTCTGATTCGGACAAAGTTATTCGTTCGGCTGCCGGAAGCATACGCAGCTCGGTGAGCCGGCTGTGGTGCCATGGGCCCCCCCCCCCCCAACGCCCCCCCCCCCCCCCCCACCACCGGCGGTGCGGGCACCCCCACGGTGCCGTGCGGGCACAACACCACTTCCGGTGGGGGGGGGGGGGGGCGGTGTCTGTGGGTTCACTCACGCGGACGAGGTGCTTCTCCCATCGCTCGTAGCTCACGGTGCGGCCCAGCTTCCGCAGCAGCTTCACATGCAGCTCCACCAGCACCTGGGGGACTGTGCGGCGGGGGGGGGGGGAGAGACAGCGAGGGAGGGAGACAGCGAGGGAGGGAGACAGCGAGGGAGGGAGACAGCGAGGGAGGGAGACAGCGAGGGAGGGAGACAGCGAGGGAGGGAGACAGCGAGGGAGGGAGACAGCGAGGGAGGGAGACAGACAGCGAGGGGGACAGTGAGGGAGGGAGACAGCGAGCGAGGGAGACAGCGAGGGAGGGAGACAGCGAGGGAGGGAGACAGCGAGGGAGGGAGACAGCGAGGGAGGGAGACAGCGAGGGAGGGAGACAGCGAGGGAGGGAGACAGCGAGGGAGGGAGACAGCGAGGGAGGGAGACAGACAGCGAAGGAGACAGACAGCGAGGGAGGGAGACAGCGAGCGAGGGAGAAAGAGAGGGAGACAGCGAGGGAGACAGCGAGGGAGACAGCGAGGGAGACAGCGAGGTAGGGAGACAGCGAGGGAGGGAGACAGCGAGGGAGGGAGACAGCGAGGGAGACAGCGAGGGAGACAGCGAGGGAGACAGCGAGGTAGGGAGACAGCGAGGGAGGGAGACAGCGAGGGAGGGAGACAGCGAGGGAGGGAGACAGCGAGGGAGGGAGACAGCGAGGGAGGGAGACAGCGAGGGAGGGAGACAGCGAGGGAGGGAGACAGACAGCGAGGGGGACAGTGAGGGAGGGAGACAGGGAGGGAGGGAGACAGCGAGGGAGACAGACAGCGAGGGAGACAGCGAGGGAGACAGTGAGGGAGGGAGACAGCGAGGGAGGGAGACAGCGAGGGAGACAGCGAGGGAGACAGCGAGGGAGACAGCGAGGGAGACAGTGAGGGAGGGAGACAGCGAGGGAGACAGCGAGGGAGACAGCGAGGGAGGGAGACAGCGAGGGAGGGAGACAGCGAGGGAGGGAGACAGCGAGGGAGGGAGACAGCGAGGGAGGGAGACAGCGAGGGAGGGAGACAGCGAGGGAGGGAGACAGCGAGGGAGGGAGACAGCGAGGGAGGGAGACAGACAGCGAAGGAGACAGACAGCAAGGGAGGGAGACAGCGAGCGAGGGAGAAAGAGAGGGAGACAGCGAGGGAGACAGCGAGGGAGACAGCGAGGGAGGGAGACAGCGAGGGAGGGAGACAGCGAGGGAGACAGCGAGGGAGACAGCGAGGTAGGGAGACAGCGAGGGAGGGAGACAGCGAGGGAGGGAGACAGCGAGGGAGGGAGACAGCGAGGGAGGGAGACAGACAGCGAGGGGGACAGTGAGGGAGGGAGACAGGGAGACAGCGAGGGAGACAGACAGCGAGGGAGACAGCGAGGGAGACAGTGAGGGAGGGAGACAGCGAGGGAGGGAGACAGCGAGGGAGACAGCGAGGGAGGGAGACAGCGAGGGAGACAGCGAGGGAGACAGTGAGGGAGGGAGACAGCGAGGGAGACAGCGAGGGAGACAGCGAGGGAGACAGCGAGGGAGGGAGACAGCGAGGGAGGGAGACAGCGAGGGAGGGAGACAGCGAGGGAGACAGCGAGGGACAGCGAGGGAGACACCGAGGGAGACAGCGAGGGAGGGAGACAGCGAGGGAGGGAGACAGCGAGGGAGACAGTGAGGGAGGGAGACAGCGAAGGAGGGAGACAGTGAGGGAGGGAGACAACGAGGGAGGGAGACGAGGGAGACAAGACAGCGAGGGAGACAGACAGCGAGGGAGGGAGACAGCGAAGGAGGGAGACAGCGAGGGAGGGAGACAGCGAGCGAGGGAGAAAGAGAGGGAGACAGCGAGGGAGACAGCGAGGGAGGGAGACAACGAGGGAGGGAGACGAGGGAGACAGACAGCGAGGGAGACAGACAGCGAGGGAGGGAGACAGCGAAGGAGGGAGACAGCGAGGGAGACAGCGAGGGAGACAGCGAGGGAGACAGTGAGGGAGACAACGAGGGAGACAGACAGCGAGGGAGACAGACAGCGAGGGAGACAGACAGCGAGGGAGGGAGACAGCGAGGGAGGGAGACAGCGAGGGAGGGAGACAGCGAGGGAGACAGACAGCGAGACAGCGAGGGAGGGAGACAGTGAGGGAGGGAGACAGCGAGGTAGGGAGACAGCGAGGGAGGGAGACAGCGAGCGAGGGAGACAGCGAGGGAACGAGACAGCGAGGGAGGGAGACAGCGAGGGAGGGAGACAGCGAGGGAGACAGCGAGGGAGACAGTGAGGGAGACAGCGAGGGACAAGGCAAGACAGGGAGATGAGGGAGACAGCGAGACAGGGAGACATCAATGTTGGTTAACCAGCTTAGGTATGATGATCTGCTCATTGCTTCTCAATCCGAAGAGTTGGAGACGCTGCTGCTGAACGTTGAGAATGGCATCAGCCTCACCAAAACGAAGCACATGTCTGGGTATTCAGATCGGACTCGTGATGGACGCGACCAGGCAGTGCCGGGCTAGGTGCACTTAGAGGCTACTGGAGAGTTGGAGGCAGTCGTCCTCCAGCAACAACGAAGGGAGGTGGAGCGAAGCTCACAACAATGAGCGGAGCGAAGGGGCGGCTAAAACGGAGCGTGGTGGCACAGTGGGGAGCACACATGGTGCATCTGTCAGCCATCTCAGCCGTGTCAACCCCATGGCACCTGGGTCTGTCCCGTGACCTCCTCTCGCCAGCACTTCGTGCGACAGCGCCACAGTGCACCTAGCCTGGCACAAGCACATGTAACAAATCGACTGCTTATGTAACGTATTTCATTGCTCAATGTCCCCCGTCGACATGCCTACTAATTGTTATCGCGTAGTGGGCATGCGTGCGGGTGGGGTGAAGTGTGAGAAGGCGGCATGTCTTCACGCGACATCATGGTTACGGGCCAGAGCGGAAAAGTAAAATGTAACACCCCTTGGGAGTCTAAGACTTATTTTTTTTTTTAAACTATTTTTTAAATTTTTTACCAGGTAAGGCCCACTGAGCTACGTGGATCTTTTACATGAGAAGCGACACTGGCTATCACACACGATGGCTCACCAAAGTGGCTTGACACGTGGAAATGTAGACCGGCCGAATACTCTTAAAAGCACGTTTGATTCTTTAACGTGGAGGGGAAAAACCGGAGAACCCGGATTTAAAAAAAATCCACGCGACCACGGGGGGAGAGAGAGAGAGACACGCAAACTCCAAATATACAGCAGCAGGCGTCAGGGTTGGGATCGAACCCACGATCTCCTGTATAGCAGGCGAGGTAGTTAACATCTCCCAGCCACCGTGATGATGAGAGAGAGACACGCAAACTCCAAATATACAGCAGACGTTGGGGTCAGAATCTAACCCTTGATCTCCTGCACACCAGGCGAGGTAGTTAACATCTCTGAGCTACCGTGGTTATGAGAGAGAGACACGCAAACTCCAAATATACAGCAGGCGTCAGGGTCGGGATCGAACCCACGCCCTCCTGTATAGCAGGCGAGGTAGTCAACATCTCCTGGCCACAGTGAGCGCTTCCCCTGAAGCTGTAGGGGAGCGGTAGCGCAGCGGTTAGCGCGGCGCTGCGCTTCAAACCCGACGACCCGAGTTCGATTCCCGCTCACGGACAACACCGCTGACGATCAACTGAACCGGTCCTGGGCCTCCCCGAGGTCGACTCAGCCTCAAATGAGTACCCTGGTGCGGTGCGTGGTAAACATCGCCACTGGGGAGACAAAGGCGGCCGGGCGTGGTGCTGGCCACCCACCCCCTCGTGTGCCGTGCCGGCCTTCACAGGTGCTGCTCGCTAACAGCACTTGCCCCAGCAGTCTGTTAAGGCTATACATATCTTTATCTTTGTACATGTACTCGCCCCCCCCGCTCCATCCTCGTTCCCCATGGCACTCCGCTCCCTGTCCCCCAAATCTACCCCACTACCAACAACAACAGACGCCATTCGCCACTAAGTGGCGGTTACGTCACCACGGTGCTTGTGCCAGGCTAGGTGCAGGAGGTCACGGGACAGACCCAGGTGGTGCCATGGGTTGACTGCTGTGCCAGGCTAGGTGCAGGTCACGGGACAGACCCAGCTGGTGCCATGGGTTGACTGCTGTGCCAGACTAGGTGCATGAGGTCACGGGACAGACCCAGGTGGTTCCATGGGTTGACTGCTGTGCTAGGCTAGGTGCATGAGGTCACGGGACAGACTCAAGTGGTGCAATGGGTTGACTGCTGTGCCAGGCTAGGTGCATGAGGTCACGGGACAGACCCAGCTGGTGCCATGGGTTGACTGCTGTGCCAGGCTAGGTGCAGGAGGAGGTCACGGGACAGACCCCCAGGTGGTGCCATGGGTTGACTGCTGTGCCAGGCAAGGTGCAGGTCACGGGACAGACCCAGGTGGTGCCATGGGTTGACTGCTGTGCCAGGCTAGGTGCATGAGGTCACGGGACAGACCCAGCTGGTGCCATGGGTCGACTGCTGTGCCAGGCTAGGTGCATGAGGTCACGGGACAGACCCAGCTGGTGCCATGGGTTGACTGCTGTGCCAGGATAGGTGCATGAGGTCACGGGACAGACTCAGGTGGTGCAATGGGTTGACTGCTGTGCCAGGCTAGGTGCATGAGGTCACGGGACAGACCCAGGTGGTGCCATGGGTTGACTGCTGTGCCAGGCTAGGTGCAGGAGGAGGTCACGGGACAGACCCCCAGGTGGTGCCATGGGTTGACTGCTGTGCCAGGCTATGTGCAGGAGGAGGTCACGGGACAGACCCAGGTGGTGGCATGGGTTGACTGTTGTGCCAGGCAAGGTGCAGGTCACGGGACAGACCCAGGTGGCGCCATGGGTTGACTGCTGTGCCAGGCTAGGTGCAGGAGGAGGTCACGGGACAGACCCCAGGTGGGGTCGACCGGCAGACGCACCAGCTGTATCTCCCCCCACTGTGCCAACTCGCTGCATTTTAATTCGCCCGGCGCTCGTTGTTGTGAGCGTCGCTCCTCTGCCCTCCGTTACGGCTGGAGGCCGACTGCCTCTTCCAAATGCCCCAGCAGCAGTAAGCAGCGTCCTTCAGGGGCCTCCTCCATAAACTCCAAAGACAAAGACCCCCTCCGTATATAGCCTGTGACAAGACTGTTGGGGCAAGTGCTGTTAGCGAGTAGCAGCGCCTACGAAGGCCGGCACGGTGGCACACGAGGAAGCGAGGGAGGGTGGGTGGGACAACACCACGCCCGGCCGCCTTTGTCTCCCCAGTGGCGATGTTCATTACACACCGCACCGAGGTAGTCATTTGTGAGGCTGAGTCGACCTAGGGGAGTCCCAGGGCCGGCTCGGATCATCGCAACTGCGGTGGTGTTGGTGGTGGCGGTGGTGTTGGTGGGTGGTAGTGGTGGGTGGTAGTGGTGGTGGGGGGTGTGAATCGAACCCCGGCTCTAAGCGGCTGTGGTTCCTCAGCGCAGCGCGCTAACCGCTGCGCCACCGCTCCCCGTTCGGTAAACAAAGAGAAAGATTCACGCCACCACCACCACCACCGCCACCACCACCACGACCGCCGCCGCCACCACGACCGCCACCACCACCACCACCGCCGCCACCACCACCGCCGCCACCACCACCGCCACCACCACCTCCATCACCACCATCACCGCCACCACCACCATCACCGCCACCACCGCCGCCACCTCCATCACCGCCACCACCCCCGCCACCACCACCGCCACCACAGGCGATGCTCCTCTCCTGCGATATCGCCTCAACAGACTGCCGGGGCAAGCGACGTTTCGTAGCGAGTAGCGAGCACAGCGTCGTCGTACAAGGGAAGAGGGGGTGGATGGGTTGAGGGTGGGTGGCCAGCACCAAACACTACCACCAACAACAACCACTAAAACCACCACTAAAACCACCACCACCAACCACCCAAACAACCACCACCACCACCACCCACAACGTCTCAAACCGCCTCACTAATTCAATGGCGGGCGCGAGTAGCTGACGGCGGCGGCTGGCGGCTGGGAGGCGTCTGGGCAAGGGGGTCGCGTTCGCTGCGCCGCGCCCGCTCGCGACTCACCGTGGTCGCGCTCGAGCAGCGCCTCCTCGAGCTGCGGGAAGGAGAGCGCCGGGAGGTCGAGCGCCGCTGAGTAGCGGCGCAGGAAGGAGCAGACAACGGCGAAGGCCGGAACGTCGGCCACGGCGGCCATCTTGAGCCCCCCCCCCCCCAAGCTCACGACGCGATTCCGAATCGGCTGCGGTGGTGAGACGCGCACGAGCGGGATTCGATTCCGGCTGTGAGGGGTGGGTGGGGTGAGGGTGATGTGAAATCGATTCCGCACGGTGGTGATGTTGTTGTTGTTGCTGTGGAATCGATCGCGGTTGTTTGTGTAGGTTGGAGGTGGGGGGAGGAGGTGGGGGGAGGGGGTGGAGGTGGGGGGAGGAAGTGGGAGGGAGGAGCGGGGGGGTGGAGATGAGGGGGTAGGTGGGGGGGTAGGTGCGGGAGGGTGGAGGTGGGGGGAGGAGGTGGGGGGAGGAAGTGGGAGGGAGGAGGTGGGGGGGGTAGGTGGGGGGGTAGGTGCGGGGGGGTGGAGGTGGGGGGAGGAGGTGGGGCGGGTGGAGGTGGGGGGAGGAGGTGGGGGGAGGAGGTGGGAGGGAGGAGGTGGGGGGTAGGTGGGGGGTAGGTGCGGGGGGGACGTGGGGGGAGGAGGTGGGGGGGGTAGGAGGTGGAGGGGAGGAGGTGGAGGATGTGGAGGGGGGGTGGAGGGGGGGAGGTTGGGGGGAGGGGGTGGCGGGGGGGAGGTGACGGGGGGGGGAGGTGACGATGGAGACTCTAAGGAATCCGATGAGCTGAGAAGCTCTTTATGCCGACGGATTGTTCCAGGAAGGGGCGCACGTGGACAGGACGTTACGACGCCAAACAAATTAAACGATGCAACAACAACAAACCCACGAAAGGAGGAACGAAGTAGAGGAAAAGTAAACAAATCACTTTGAAGAAATATACAAATAAAGTTATGGTACATTGTTGTTATTGGCAGTGTTAGTCTATGGGCAGTGTTGAGTCTATGGGCAGTGTTGAGTCTATGGGCAGTGTTAGTCTATGGGCAGTGTTGAGTCTATGGGCAGTGTTGAGTCTATGGGCAGTGTTGAGTCTATGGGCAGTGTTGAGTCTATGGGCAGTGTTAGTCTATGGGCAGTGTTAGTCTATGGGCAGTGTTGAGTCTATGGGCAGTGTTGAGTCTATGGGCAGTGTTGAGTCTATGGTGCAGTGTTGAGTCTATAGGTAGTGTTGAGTCTATGGGCAGTGTTGAGTCTATGGGCAGTGTTCAGTCTATGGGTAGTGTTGAGTCTATGGGCAGTGTTGGGTCTATGGTGCAGTGTTGAGTCTATGGGCAGTGTTGAGTCTATGGGCAGTGTTAGTTTATGGGTAGTGTGAGTCTATGGGCAGTGTTGAGTCTATGGGCAATGTTGAGTCTATGGGCAGTGTTGAGTCTATGGGCAGTGTTGGGTCTATGGGTAGTGTTGAGTCTATGGGCAGTGTTGAGTCTATGGTCAGTGTTGAGTCTATGGGCAGTGTTGAGTCTATGGGCAGTGTTGAGTCTATGGGCAGTGTTAGTCTATGGGTAGTGTGAGTCTATGGGCAGTGTTGAGTCTATGGGCAATGTTGAGTCTATGGGTAGTGTTGAGTCTATGGGCAGTGTTGAGTCTATGGGCAGTGTTGAGTCTATGGGTAGTGTTGAGTCTATGGGCAGTGTTGAGTCTATGGGCAGTGTTGAGTCTATGGGTAGTGTTGAGTCTATGGGCAGTGTTGAGTCTATGGTGCAGTGTTGAGTCTATGGGCAGTGTTAGGTCTATGGGCAGTGTTGAGTCTATGGGCAGTGTTGAGTCTATGGACAGTGTTGAGTCTATGGGTAATGTTGAGTCTATGGGTAGTGTTGAGTCTATGGGTAGTGTTGAGTCTATGGGCAGTGTTGAGTCCATGGGCAGTGTTGAGTCTATGGGTAGTGTTTAGTCTATGGGTAGTGTTAGTCTATGGGCAGTGTTGAGTCTATGGGCAGTGTTCAGTCTATGGGTAGTGTTGAGTCTATGGGCAGTGTTGAGTCTATGGGCAGTGTTGAGTCTATGGGCAGTGTTGAGTCTATGGGCAGTGTTAGTCTATGGGTAGTGTGAGTCTATGGGCAGTGTTGAGTCTATGGGCAGTGTTGGGTCTATGGGCAGTGTTGAGTCTATGGGCAGTGTTGAGTCTATGGGCAGTGTTGAGTCTATGGGCAGTGTTGAGTCTATGGGCAGTGTTGAGTCTATGGGCAGTGTTGAGTCTATGGGCAGTGTTGAGTCTATGGTGCAGTGTTGAGTCTGTGGTGCAGTGTTGAGTCTATGGGCAGTGTTGAGTCTATGGGCAGTGTTGAGTCTATGGGCAGTGTTGAGTCTATGGGTAGTGTTGAGTCTATGGGCAGTGTTCAGTCTATGGGCAGTGTTGAGTCTATGGGCAGTGTTGAGTCTATGGTGCAGTGTTGAGTCTGTGGTGCAGTGTTGAGTCTATGGGCAGTGTTGAGTCTATGGGCAGTGTTGAGTCTATGGGCAGTGTTGAGTCTATGGGCAGTGTTGGGTCTATGGGCAGTGTTGAGTCTATGGGTAGTGTTGAGTCTATGGGCAGTGTTCAGTCTATGGGCAGTGTTGAGTCTATGGGCAGTGTTGAGTCTATGGTGCAGTGTTGAGTCTGTGGTGCAGTGTTGAGTCTATGGGCAGTGTTGAGTCTATGGGCAGTGTTGAGTCTATGGGCAGTGTTGAGTCTATGGGCAGTGTTGGGTCTATGGGCAGTGTTGAGTCTATGGGCAGTGTTGAGTCTATGGGCAGTGTTGAGTTTATGGGCAGTGTTGAGTCTATGGGCAGTGTTGAGTCTATGGGCAGTGTTGAGTCTATGGGCAGTGTTGAGTCTATGGGCAGTGTTAGTCTATGGGTAGTGTGAGTCTATGGGCAGTGTTGAGTCTATGGGCAATGTTGAGTCTATGGGTAGTGTTGAGTCTATGGGCAGTGTTGAGTCTATGGGCAGTGTTGAGTCTATGGGCAGTGTTGAGTCTATGGGCAGTGTTGAGTCTATGGGCAGTGTTGAGTCTATGGGCAGTGTTGGGTCTATAGGCAGTGTTGAGTCTATGGGCAGTGTTGAGTCTATGGGCAGTGTTGAGTCTATGGGTAGTGTTAGTCTATGGGTAGTGTTAGTCTATGGGCAGTGTTGAGTCTATGGGCAGTGTTGAGTCCATGGGCAGTGTTGAGTCTATGGTGCAGTGTTGAGTCTATGGACAGTGTTGTCCATAGACTCAACACCATACCATAGTATGGTTTTTGCAAACAAAAACCATACTATGATAATATATGCATGGTCCTTAAAACTGGTTGGTCTACACCAAGGGACGGCTTTCTTTTGAGCCTCGACCCAATTGGTGCTCGACCAGATGACGCCTTTTGGCCTTTTGGCCTTTTGGCCTTTTGGCGTCATCTGGTCGAGCATTTTGACTGCAGGTATTGTGGTTAATGAAGACATGAATCCTTGTAAAAACGTTTCAGATTTGTTGCCAGAAAAAAGGGGAAAAACCCTATTATTCTATGGGCAGTGTTGAGTCTATGGCCTCTGTGAGTCTATGGGCAATGTGGTAGTAGTTACATTGGAGAAACCAAACGACATGTCTCGGACCGCATTCGTGAACACAAAGCAGACCTAAAACACGGTAGGACCAACACCTCGGCCGTGGCAGATCACTGTTATAATTCAGTAGGCTCACATGACATTGACTTCTCCAAGACAGTGGTTCTTTGCCAGCCATCTGGCTACCATGAGAGATTCGTTCATGAAGCTATCCACATATACAAACACGGAGACAATTTCAACCGAGAATATGGATTCTGGCTTAGAAATCATTGGAAGGATCTGATAAACCATTTCGGGTCTTAATTGATTGTTCACGCTTACGGTGGCTTTCAGACCGCATCCATTATTTTCGTCTCCCCCCTCCTCTTTTCCGAACATAGATAGACTCATATTATTCGTTCTTTCGGTAAAGTCACGTAGAGGGAAACAATAAAATAATAAAAATATAAAACAATTAAATTCTCACGACGTTTCGACTGTGGTTTTCACACCTGATGATGATTGCTTGTGTTGCAGTCGAAACGTCGTGATAATTTTATTGTTTTATATTTTTATTACTCTATTGTTTCCCTTCTACGTGACTTTACCGAAATAACCAAGAATATGAATCCCTGCAGTCACCAAAGCTTTAAATAAAAAAAAATAGATGGACTTGTCCATCTGAATAACTGCCAAATCGCTCTCCGTGGTGCTAACGTTAAAAAAACCCACCACTTTTTTCAAAATTTCTTGCTGTGGTTTTCACACTTGATGATGATTGCTTGTGTTGCAGTTGAAACGTCGTGAGAATGTTATTGTTTTATATGTTTTATTATTTTATTGTTTCCCTTATACGTGACTTTAACGAAAGAACCAAGAATATAACGTACTTGCTGTTACGGTTTATTTAAATTTTTATATTTTAAATCTGTAATTTGCGGAATGCTTGGATGTTAGTTTAACACGAAGCAGCATGCTTTCTCGACCAATATTATCCATTATAGACGTGTTTTGGGTTAGATCGCGTAAATATAAATGTGTCGTTAAACCCAACACCACCCAACACAGCCCACTCACTTACTCAACAACAACAACAACCGCCATTCGCCACTAAGTGGCGGTGACGTCACCACGACGCTTGTGCCAAGCTATGTGCACCCTGAGGCCACGTGAAGTGTCGAACGCCCGCTGGCAGGAGGTCACGGGGCAGACCCAGGTGCCACGGGTCGACTGACTGAGATGACTGGCTGATGCACCACCTGTGCCCCCTACTGTGCCAACTTACTCACCCACTCACTCACCCACTCATTCACTCACCCACCCACTCACTCACCCACTCACCCACCCACTCACTTACCCATCCACTCACTTACCCACCCACTCACTTACCCACTCACTCACCCACCCACTCACCCACCCACTCACCCACCCACTCACCCACCCACTAATTCACTCACTCACCCACTCACCCACCCACCCACTCACTCACTCACCCACTCACCCACTCACTCACCGACTCACTCACTCGCTCACCCACTCACTCACCACCCACTCACTCACTCGCTCACTCACCCACCCACCCATTCACTCACTCGCTCACTCACTCACCCAATCGCTCACTCACCTACCCACTCACCCACTCGCTCACCCACTTGGGGAGAACAACATCATGGAGAGAGATGGGGATGTGCTGACGAGGTCCAAGTTTATTTTTTGTTTGTTTTTTGTTGTTATTACTGGCGAAACTTCACGATACTCGAATTGTAAATGTTGTTGTGGGTTCACTCTCCAACACACAACCTATGTCCTGTACTAGTATACTACAACAGAGGGTCTGTACAGGATTAACTGCACTTGTGGCAAATGCTATGTTGGGCAAACAGGACGAATGATCAGCACGAGACTAAAAGAACATCAAAGAAATATTAAATTCTCCCAAATACAACTGTCAGCAGTAGCAGAACACGCGTGCCAACTAGGACACTCGATTGATTTTGATAATGTTGAAGTTCTGTGCAAAACTAGCTACTACTAGCCAAGACTAATTTTGAGAATCTATCAAAATTGATAGAAATAAAAAATAATTTTAACCACTGGGATAGCTACCTAGGGCTGCGTGGAAGCGAATCATCAAATAATACATTGTTCAAATGCATGCCTATACAAGGGCACTATACTTCAATAGGGATTACCGTTGGTACAGCTATTTTAATAGAATAGAGCGCAGAAGATTGGTCACCACATCTACGCCTCTATATAAAGATCAAAACAGGAGGACTTCTCCACAGATCTGGCTGTCGCCTGATGAAGCTAGTTGTAATTACTGGCGAAACGTCGTACTCAGATTGTAAATGTTGTGGCTTGGCTCTCCAACACACAACCGGTGTGATGTACGAGTACACTACACTATACACTACACAATACACTACACTATACACTACTATACACTGCACTATACACTACACTATACACTACACTACCATACACTACACTATACACTACACTGTACACTACACTATACACTACACTATACACTGCACTACTATACACTATACACTACTATACACTACACTATACACTACAATATACACTACACTATACACTACACTATACACTACACTACTATACACTACACTATACACTACACTATACACTACACTACTATACACTACACTATACACTACACTATACACTACACTATACACTACACTATACACTACACTACTATACACTACACTATACACTACACTACTATATACTATACACTACTATACACTACACTATACACTACTATACACTACACTATACACTACACTATACACTACACTATACACTACTATACCACTACACTATACACTACACTATACAGTACTATACACTACACTATACACTACACTATACACTACTATACACTACACTATACACTACACTATACACTACTATACACTACACTATACACTACATTATACACTACACTATACACTACACTATACACTACACTATACACTACACTACTATACACTACACTATACACTACACTACACACTAGTGCTGTGCTAGTGACGAATTGGCACGTTCTGTTTACGTGACAACCCTTACTAGTTGGCTGTGTCGGGTGGTGGCGGGTTTAACGACACATATTTACGTGATCTAACCCAAAAAACCTCTATTACTGAGTATACTACACTATGCACTACACTATGTACTTCACTATACACTACACTATACACTACACTGCTATACACTACACTACTATACACTACACTACTATACACTACACTAATATACACTACACTGCTATACACTACACCACTATACACTACACTGCTATACACTACACTACTATACACTACACTACTATACACTACACTACCATACACTACACTACTATACACTACACTACCATACACTATACACTACTATACACTATACACTGCTATACACTACACTACTATACACTACACTACTATACACTACACTACCATACACTATACACTACTATACACTACACTACTATACACTACACTGCTATACACTACACTACTATACACTACACTACTATACACTACACTACTATACACTACACTACCATACACTATACACTACTATACACTACACTACTGTACACTACACTGCTATACACTACACTACCATACACTACACTACCATACACTATACACTACTATACACTATACACTACTATACACTACTATACACTACACTACTATACACTACACTACCATACACTATACACTACTATACACTACACTACTATACACTACACTGCTATACACTACACTACTATACACTACACTACTATACACTACACTACTATACACTACACTACCATACACTATACACTACTATACACTACACTACTATACACTACACTGCTATACACTACACTACCATACACTATACACTACTATACACTACACTACCATACACTATACACTACTATACACTACACTACTATACACTACACTGCTATACACTACACTACTATACACTACTATACACTACACTAATATACACTACGCTACTATACACTACACTACCATACACTACACTACCATACACTATACACTACTATACACTACACTATAAAAGTCAGCGCTACAAAAACCACCACCACCACACTGTGTTCAATCATCGCACTCCAGGTCACAACAGCACTCACCCACCCACTCACTCACTTACCCACTCGCTCACCCACTCACCCACTCACTCACTCACCCACTCACTCATCCACTCACCCACTCACTCACTTACCCACTCGCTCACCACACACCTACTCACTCACTCACCCATTCACTCACCCACCCACTCACTCACCCACTCACTCACCCGCTCACTCACTCGCTCGCTCACTCACTCACCCGCTCACTCACTCGCTCACCCACTCACTCACCCGCTCACCCACCCACTCACTCACCCGCTCACTCACTCACCCACTCACTCACCCGCTCACTCACTCGCTCGCTCACTCACTCACTCGCTCACTCACTCACCCACTCACTCACCCGCCCACTCACCCACTCGCCCACCCACTCGGGGGAGAACAACATCACGGAGAGAGATGGGGATGTGCTGACGAGGTCAAAGTTTATTTTGAATTCTCTAAAACTCTACACACGAAGCCCGCAGCTCCGACGAACGACAGTGGCCGAGTGGGATCGCGGACGTAAGCCAACGTTGCCTCTCGGTTGGAATTGACCTCAAATGCCCGAAGCCACGACCACGACCACCACCACCAGCGGCGATGTTGTCCCTTGCACAAAGACAAAGACTCCACACTCCCCCACCATCCCTCCCGTATAGCCTCAATAGACTGTTGGGGCAAGTGCTGTTGGCGAGGAGTTGCAGCAGCGCCTGTGAAGGCCGGCATGGCACGCGAGATGGGGGTCGGTGACCAGCCGCCTTTGACTCCCCAGTGTTTGCCAGGAATTGGTGGTCGTGTTGGTGGTGGTGATGGTGGTGGTGCGAGTGATGGTGGTCGTTGTCGCCTTGGCGGTGGTGGTTGCGTTGGTGGTGCTGGTTTGTTGCATTGGTTGTGTTCGTGGCGGTTGTATCGGTGGTGGTGGTTGTGGTGTTGTTGGTGGTGGTAGCATTAGTGGCTGTTGTATTGTTCGGCGGCGTTTGCATTGGTGGTGGTGGTGGTTGGTGGTAGTTGGTGGTAGTTGGTGGTAGTTGGTGGTAGCATCTACGGCCTGTGACTGAACCCAGGATCATCCGTTCGGTCTCATTCCTCCGATTGACTCTTCGCTCGAGGGTGGGGGCTAGGCGGGGAGGGGCGGGGGGATGAGTGAGCGAGGGGTGGGAGAGGTGGGGGTACTTGGCACCCCCATCCCACACGAGGGTGGGGGGTGGGGGGGGGGTGTTTGAGTGGTCACCCTTCACAGACAGCGACGGGAGGGACCGCATGGGTCGCAGGGCATGCAGGGCTGCCCACAGCGGTCGGGCACGCAGTGTAGTCTGTGGGGGTGGCGGAGAGGGCGGGCGTTAGTCGTCGTGGTGTGTGTGTGAGAGAGAGACGAGAGAGAGAGAGACGAGACGTGTCACAAGCGGACAGGTGAGTGGACAGGTTGGAGAGGTCAAGCAGGTGAGTGTACAGGTGAGTGTACTGACAGACAGGTGAGTGTACAGGTGAGTGTACAGACAGACAGGTGAGTGTACAGGTGAGTGTACAGACAGACAGGTGAGTGTACAGGTGAGTGTACAGACAGACAGGTGAGTGTACAGGTGAGTGTACAGGTGAGTGTACAGACAGACAGGTGAGTGTACAGGTGAGTGTACAGACAGACGGGTGAGTGTACAGGTGAGTGTACAGGTGAGTGTACTGACAGACAGGTGAGTGTACAGGTGAGTGTACAGGTGAGTGTACAGACAGGTGAGTGTACAGGTGAGTGTACAGGTGAGTGTACAGACAGGTGGGTGTCCAGGTGAGTGTACAGACAGGTGAGTGTACAGGTGAGTGTACAGGTGAGTGTACAGACAGGTGAGTGTACAGACAGGTGAGAGTACAGGTGAGTGTACAGACAGGTGAGTGTACAGACAGGTGAGTGTACAGGTGAGTGTACAGACGGGTGAGTGTACAGGTGAGTGTACAGACAGGTGAGTGTACAGACAATTGAGTGTACAGGTGAGTGTACAGGTGAGTGTACAGGTGAGAGTACAGGTGAGTGTACAGACAGGTGAGTGTACAGGTGAGTGTACAGACAGGTGAGTGTACAGACAGGTGAGTGTACAGACAGGTGAGTGTACAGGTGAGTGTACAGACAGGTGAGTGTACAGACAGGTGAGTGTACAGGTTCGTGTACAGACAGGTGAGTGTACAGACAGGTGAGTGTACAGGTGAGTGTACAGACAGGTGAGTGTACAGACAGGTGAGTGTACAGACAGGTGAGTGTACAGGTGAGTGTACAGGTGAGAGTACAGGTGAGTGTACAGACAGGTGGGTGTCCAGGTGAGTGTACAGACAGGTGGGTGTCCAGGTGAGTGTACAGGTGAGTGTACAGACAGGTGAGTGTACAGACAGGTGAGTGTACAGACAGGTGGGTGTCCAGGTGAGTGTACAGACAGGTTCGTGTACAGACAGGTGAGTGTACAGACAGGTGAGTGTACAGGTGAGTGTACAGACAGGTGGGTGTCCAGGTGAGTGTACAGGTGGGTGTCCAGGTGAGTGTACAGGTGAGTGTACAGACAGGTGAGTGTACAGACAGGTGGGTGTCCAGGTGAGTGTACAGGTGGGTGTCCAGGTGAGTGTACAGGTGAGTGTACAGACAGGTGAGTGTACAGACAGGTGAGTGTACAGGTGAGTGTACAGGTGAGTGTACAGGTGAGTGTACAGACAGGTGAGTGTACAGACAGGTGAGTGTACAGACAGGTGAGTGTACAGACAGGTGAGTGTACAGACAGGTGAGTGTACAGGTGAGTGTACAGACAGGTGAGTGTACAGACAGGTGAGTGTACAGGTGAGTGTACAGACAGGTGAGTGTACAGACAGGTGAGTGTACAGGTGAGTGTACAGGTGAGTGTACAGGTGCGAGCGTGTCTCCTCCCCCCACCTGCTCTCCTCGCCCTCCAGCAGCTTGCGGTAGGTGGCGATCTCGATGTCGAGGGCCAGCTTCACGTTCATGAGCTCCTGGTAGTCGCGCACGTGCCTCGCCATGTCGGCCTTCGCCTGCGACAGCTCCATCTCGACGCGCGCGGTCGCGTCACGGGCCTCGTGCGCGTTCAGCTCCCCGCGGGTCTCCGCCTCCTGGATGGAGCTCTCCAGCTGGTAGCGCTGTGGTGGTCGTGGTGGTGGTGGTGGGGAGGAGGAGGAGGAGGGGGTGGGTGAGGTAGAGGTGGGGGTTCAGGTGGGAGTGGTGGTGGGGAGGAGGGGGTGGGTGAGGTAGGAGTGGGGGTTGAGGTAGGAGTGGGGGTTGGGGTGGGAGTGGGGGTTGGGGTGGGAGTGGGTGAGGTAGAGGTGGGAGTGGTGGTGGGGAGGAGGAGGTGGGTGAGGTAGAGGTGGGGGTTGAGGTAGGGGTGGGGGTTGAGTTGGGGGGGGGGTGTGGGAGTTGGGGTTAAGGTGGGGGGGGGGGTAGGGGTGGGGGTTGAGGTGGGGGGTTAGGTGGGAGTGGGGGGGGGTAAGGTGGGGGTGGTGAGGTGAAGGTGGGGGTTGAGGTGGGAGTGGGGGATGGTGGGGTTGGCGGTGGGTGGGGGGGTGAGGTGGGAGTGGGGGGGGTGGGGGGGGTGAGGTGTGTGTGGGTGGGGGCAAACCCCCCCGCCCCGCCCCCCCCGCGGCAGCAGGCGAGGAGTTGTCTCACGGCCATCCCAGCTCACCTGGGTCTTCAGGCCGTCGATCTCGCACGCGAGCCTCTGCAGCATGGAGGAGAGCTCAAGGATTTCGTTCTTGGTGCAGCGCAACTCAATGCAGTGCCTCTCGGACGCCTCGGCCATGTCGTCCATCTGCAGGGTCAGGGGAGGCGGTCAGGTGAGGCGGCGATGATGATGCTGGTGAGGATGATGATGAGGATAAGGAGGTGGCGGTGGTGTTTCAGGTGGAGGTTTGGGCTTGTCACCTTGCTCTTGTACCAGCACTCGACCTCCTCGCGGCTGCGTGCGGCAACCATTTCGTAGTTGGCGCGGACCTCGGCGATGAGAGAGCTCAGGTCGAAGTTGCAGCCCGTGTCCAGGTCGATGGTCACGTTCATGTCGCGGATCCGCTCCTCCATCTCCTGCATCTCCTGCGCGGGGGGTCACGGGTGGGTCACGTGGGTCAGGGTCAGTAGGTCACCGCGATCACCAACACTGCCGTCGCCATCATCATAATCAATCGGCACCATCACAACCACAAAGAGACCCCCATCACCACCACCACCAGCATCATCACCACCAGCATCACCATCTTCAACACCATCGACACCACCATCGCAACCACAAAGACGCCCCATCACCATCACCAGCATCATCACCTCCACCATCACCATCTTCAACAACATCGACACCACCATCACAACCACAAAGAGACCCCCATCACCACCACCAGCATCATCACCACCAGCATCACCATCTTCAACAACATCGACACCACCATCACAACCACAAAGACGCCCCATCACCACCACCATCACCACCACCACCACCATCACCATCTTCAACACCATCGACACCACCATCACAACCACAAAGAGACCCCCATCACCACCACCAGCATCACCACCACCAGCATCACCATCTTCAACAACATCGACACCACCATCACAACCACAAAGAGACCCCCATCACCACCACCAGCATCAGCACGCCACTCGAGGGGGGAGGGTGGCCAGCACCACGCCCGGCCGCCTTTGTCTCCCCCAGCGGCGACGTTTACCACACACCGCACCAGGTACTCATTTGAGGCTGAGTCGACCTAGGGGCGGCCCAGGACCGGCTCAGATAATCGTCGCAGGTGGTGTTGGGGGAGAGGTGGGAGAGGGGGGGGAGAGTTCGGACCCTGACCGCCACAACCACCACAACCACCACAACCACCACAACCACCACCACAACTTGTGAGTGTTAAGTGACACTCTGTGTGTGTGTCTGTGTGGTGACGCCTGAGGGAGGCTTACGCAGGCGAAGAGCTCCTTGATGAAGTGAAGCTCATCGCTGAGCTGTCCCACGCGAGTCTCCATCTGCACCTTGCCCATGTAGTTGTCGTCAGCCTCCTGGGGACACGGGGAGGGCGTGAGGGTTCGAGTGCCGGGGTTCGACGGTTCGGAGCACCCAGCCACCAACACGCTTCGCCTGCCCCACTGAGTCTCAAACCCCGCTCATCCACTCACACACTCACTCACTCACCTAACCCCTCACCCACCCACTCACCCACCCACCCCCTCACTCACCCACCCACTCACTCACCCACCCACCCAACCCCTCACCCACCCACTCACTCACCCACCTGCTTACTCACCCAACCCCTCACCCACCTGCTTACTCACCCAGCCGCCTACTCACCCACCCCCTCACCCACCGACTCACTCAACCACTGACCCACTCACCCACCCACAAACTCACCCACCCAACTCCTCACCTACCCGCTCACTCACCCACTCACTCACCGACCCACCCACCCACCAACTCACCCACCAACTCACCCACCAACTCACCCACCCACCAACTCACCCACCCCCTACACCCTCCCACTCCCTCACCCACCCGCTCACCCACCCACCCACCAACTCACCCACCCACTCACCCACCCCCTCTCACCCGCTTAATGGCTACGAAGTTCGCCTCCGCCGCCTCGCGCCCAGTCACCTCCGCCTCGTACCTGCGCTCGACACCCAGACAGAGGCAAAGGTTCACCACCAGCATAGCCCGCACGCGCCATCGGGGCAAGGGGCTGCCAGCGTGCAGCAGCTGCGAGGTAGGGGCGGTGCCGTGACCAAACGACCACCACGCCCGGCCGCCTTTGTATCCCTCCGTCCTCCTCCCGGTGCCGACGTTTCGCGCACACAGCATTAGGTGCGCACTTGAGGCTGAGCCGACCTAGGGGAGCACCCGGGAGCGGTTCGGATTTCCGCTACCCGGTGTTGATTGCGAAGCGGGAATCGATACCCGCGGGGGGGCTGGGGTTTGTAGCGCGGCGCGCTAACCACCCGCGCCACCACTCCCCCGCATTTACCCACAGACTTAAAGACGAAGACAAAGATCCCCCGTGTAGGCTTCACAGGCTGTTGGGGGCAAGTGCCCCGCGGATGTCGACCGGCTGAGATGACTGGCCCGATGCACCATACAAAGATAAAGATCCCCCATATAGCCTGTAACAGACTGTAGGGGCAAGTGCTGTTAGCGAGCACCTATGAAGGCCAGAACGGTACACGAGGGGGTGGGTGGCCAGCACCACGCCCGACCGCCTTTGTCTCCCTAGTGGCGATGTTTACTCATTGGAGGCTGAGTCGACCTAGGGGAGGCCCGGGACCGGTTCAGATAATCGTCACTGGTGTTGGCCGTGAGGGGGAATCGAACCCGGGTCGCCAGGTTCATAGCGCAGCGCGCTATCGCTCCCCGGCTGAGATGACTGGCCCGATGCACCACACACCACCACCACCACACACACACACACACGTGGCCCATCACCACCAGCACCGACCACAGCAGGGGGGGGGGGGGTCTCACTTGAGCTTGTGCTCGTCGGCGAGTGCGCGCGTCTGGTGGAGCTCCGTCTCGAGCCTCGGGCGATCGGCCAGCACGCAGTCGAGCTGCCTCTTGATGGCTTGGGCGTACGTCTCGAACATCGAGTCCAGGTCGGAGGTGCAGACGCGCGCCTGCAGACAGCCCCACTGCGCCTCCAGCACCTTGTTCTCCTGCTCCAGGTAGCGAACCTGATGCGTTTGCCACCATGGTGGTTGGGGTGAGATTTGTTGCAGATCGCTGGCTCCGTTCGCTTCATCCGCTAATCCACGCGTCCCATCCACCTAGCACCCACTCGCCCACTGGCACCCACCTGCTCACTCGCCAACCCAATCGTCCGTCCGTCTATCGGCCAACCCACCTCACCACACATCAATTAAATGCATTTCTCACAAATCCACCGAATTAGTTACCAGCTCATTTAACCACCCACCCATCCATCCACCCACTCACCCGCCCGCCCACTCGCTCACCAACCCACCCACCATTTAAACTATTAATCTGTTACCCATCCGCTCACCCACCAAACTACCAACGTACCCTTGCATCTACCCACTCACCAACCCATTCACCCACTCGCTATACAACTCACCCACCTACTCACCAACTCACCCACTCACCCAACCACCCACCCACCCGCTCAACAACCAACCAACCCACCCACCGACCCACGCACCCACCAATCCATTCACCTACCCGCTCAACAACCCACCCACCCAACCACCCAACCACCCACCCATCCGCTCAACAACCAACCAACCCACCCACCCACGCATCCACCAATTCAACTATTAATCTGTTATCCACCCACTCACCCACCAAACTACCCACCCACCAATGTATTCACCCACTCCCCATACAACTCACCCACCTACTCACCAACTCACCCACCCACCACCTAAACTATGAATGTGTTACCCACCCACTCACCCACCAAACTACCCACCCACCAATGTATTCACCCACTCGCCATACAACTCACCCACCTACTCACCAACTCACCCACCCACCACCTAAACTATGAATGTGTTACCCACCCACTCACCCACCAAACTACCCACCCACCAATGTATTCACCCACTCGCCATACAACTCACCCACCTACTCACCAACTCACCCACCCACCACCTAAACTATGAATGTGTTACCCACCCACTCACCCACCAAACTACCCACCCACCAATGTATTCACCCACTCGCCATACAACTCACCCACCTACTCACCAACTCACCCACCCACCAACTAAACTATGAATGTGTTACACTACCCACTCACCCACCAAACTACTCACCCACCAATGTATTCACCCACTCGCCATACAACTCACCCACCTACTCACCAACTCACCCACCCACCACCTAAACTATGAATGCGTTACCCACCCACTCACCCACCAAACTACCCACCCACCAATGTATTCACCCACTCGCCATACAACTCACCCACCTACTCACCAACTCACTCACCCACCCACCCACCCAACCACCCACCCGCTCAACAACCCACCCACCCACCCCAGCCAGCACACCTTGTCGATGAAGCTGGCGAAGCGGTCATTCAGGTGGCTGATGGCGTTCTTCTCTTGACAGCGCACGTTCTGCCCGCTGCGGTCGATCTGCACGCAGGGCGCCGGGCACAGCGGCTCCATGCTGACGCGCGGGATGCACGCGGACGGCCGAGGGCACGGCGTCGGGCACACGGGGGGCGGGCACGGCCGCGGGCACACGGGCACGGCCTTGCTGCACTTGGGCACGGGCGCGCAGGGCGCGGGCCCGCAGGGCGCGTGGAAGCTCCCGTGGTGAACGGGCCCGCAGGGCGGAGGCCCGCAGGGCGCGCTCGTGAACGGGACGTAGGATGAGCACGAGGGCTTTGAGCCGTGCGCGGCGCCTCCCGTGTAGAAGGCCCCGCCGTGGATGAAGGGCGCCAGGGATGAGAACCCGTGGCCCGAGTCGTGGCACGGTTCGGGCCCCGGGGTGCAGCAGCGCACGGTGGTGCGTGGCGGGCACGGCCGCGGGCAAAGGGCGGGCGCGGGGCACGGCGCGTGGCACGGCGCGCACGGCTTGGGCAGCTTCGGCGTGGGCGCGAAGTTGCTGACGTACTTGTTGGGCACGCAGGGTTCGCAGGGCTTGCTGTAGGACATGGCTGGCTTGCTTTGAGTCGGGTTGAGCTGGCTCGGCTGGTTCGCTGAGAGAGTCGGGTGGATGGATGGAGAGCTGGAGCTGAGCTGGAGCTGGAGCTGGAGCTGGAGGAGCTGGAGGAGCTGGGTGCTGATGTGCCGGAGTGAGCGATGCCCGACGCTTTTTATACGGAACGCGGGAGGGAGGAGGCCCGCGGATTACGGCCGATTACGCCGAGTAATGGGGACGCGTCGGGACATTTAGCGGGGCCCAAATTGCCGCCCCCGGGCAGCCCGACAACGGCGATGTTTGTTTCATGGCGCCCCTGCGATAATTTCGCGTGAACCTCGGGGCCGGGAGCGGTGGCGCATCGGTTAGCCTAGCGCCACGGCACGTTACGAACGCCCGGCGCTTTGCCACCGCGGTGGTCGGCAAGAAAAACACTGCGAGATAACAAATTAAAAATAAAAAAAACAAAAACAACACCGCGAAAATAACGAGAAAGGGGGGAAAGGCAGGAAATGGTTTGTTCGCGAGTTTGATTTTTTGCGTTCAGAATGTTCCACGAGCCGACGCGATGCGCCGCTGTGAGTACGGAGACGTCGCGATACAGCGGCAATGTTGGGTGGACTGGACTTCCATGGTGAACTTGACTCCCATGGTGAACTGGACTCCCATGGTAAACTAGACTTCCACGATAAACTGGACTCCCATGGTGGACTTGACTCCCATGGTAAACTTGACTCCCGTGGTGAACTGGACTCCCATGGTGAACTTGACTCCCGTGATAAACTGGACTCCCATGGTAAACTTGACTCCCATGGTAAACTTGACTCCCATGGTGGACTGGACTCCCATGGTGAACTGGACATCCATGGTAAACTTGACTCCGATAGTGAACTTGACTCCCGTGGTGAACTGGACTCCCATGGTGAACTGGACTCCCATGGTAAACTGGACTCCCGTGGTGAACTGGACTCCCGTGGTGGACTGGACTCCCATGGTGAAATGGACTCCGATAGTGAACTTGACTCCCGTGGTGAACTGGACTCCCATGGTAAACTGGACTCCCGTGGTGAACTTGACTCCCGTGGTAAACTGGACTCCCATGGTGAACTGGACTTCCATGGTAAACTGGACTCCCATGGTAAACTGGACTTCCATGGTGAACTGGACTCCCGTGGTGAACTTGACTCACATGGTAAACTTGACTCCCATGGTGAACTGGACTTCCATGGTAAACTTGACTCCCATGGTGGACTGGACTCCCGTGGTAAACTGGACTCCCATGGTAAACTGGACTTCCATGGTGAACTGGACTCCCGTGGTGAACTGGACTCCCATGGTGAACTTGACTCCCATGGTGAACTGGACTTCCATGGTAAACTAGACTCCCGTGGTGGACTGGACTCCCATGGTGAACTGGACTCCCATGGTAAACTGGACTCCCATGGTGAACTGGACTCCCATGGTGAACTGGACATCCATGGTAAACTTGACTCCCATAGTAAACTGGACTCCCATGGTGAACTGGACTCCCATGGTAAACTGGACATCCATGATGAACTGGACTCCCGTGGTAAACTGGACTCCCATGGTGAACTGGACTCCCATGGTGAACTGGACATCCATGGTAAACTTGACTCCCATAGTAAACTGGACTCCCATGGTGAACTGGACTCCCATGGTAAACTGGACATCCATGATGAACTGGACTCCCGTGGTAAACTGGACTCCCATGGTGAACTTGACTCCCGTGGTAAACTGGACTCCCGTGGTAAACTTGACTCCCGTGGTAAACTGGGGTCATCAACTAAAACACGATCGAGCAATTCCCCACCCCTCCCAATCCCGCCGAGAATTTCCAGAGCCGCGCCACCGCAGTCCACCAAGAGCCACCGCACGCGTCTCCGGAGGTCACCGAGGTTTGGTGACCCCCCCCCCCCCCCACTCGCCAATGTGCCACGGGGACGCGATTGTCAGTGAAGGTCAGCAGTGGGGAGACAAAGGCGGACGGGCCACTTGCCCCGACGTGCCGTGCGTGCTACACGGGGGACCTTGGTCTTTGCTTCGTAACGTTTTTTTTTTATTTCAAGGCGAGCCCGCCGATCTCCGCCAACCATCCTTGATCGGTTGCTTTGATCCAGAACCGCCTTCAATAACCGCCCCTTCGGTTCCACATCCCATGGCAACGGAACATTCGGAACGCTACGGTGACGCGGTCTGGACATCGGTGTGGCTCGCCTGCTACCACATGAGCCATATGCTCTGCGGAAGGAGCGTTGCCCGGAACGTCGGGGTCGTCACTGACGCACGCGTTCAGTTTTTTTGGTGTCGCCCCACGCGGATCAGAACCACGGTTGGCTACTTACGGTGCGAAAGAAGTTCAACAAACATACGTACTAATACACCCGACACTATGCACTACACTATACACTACACTACAGTATGCACTACACTATACACTACACTATGCACTACACTATACACCACTATACATTACACTATACACTACACTACAGTATGCACTACACTATACACTACACTATATACTACACTATACACTACACTATACATTACACTATATACTACACTATACACTACACTATACACTACACTATACACTACACTATACATTACACACTACACTATACACTACACTATGCACTACACTATAACACTACACTATATACTACACCACTATACACTACACTACTATACACTACACTATACAATACACTACTACACACTGCACTATACCCTACACTACTATACAATACAATATACATTACACGACTATACACTACTATACACTACTCTACATACTACACTACGATACACTGAGAGACAGAGGGGCACGTGGTTTATAGAGGACATACGCTCTGAGTATCATCACATTGATCTCCATCCAGCTGCTGCTGATGATGACTCACAGGTACACGTACATAATTATATATATACACTTAACAGACTGTTGGGGCAAGTGTTGTTAGCGAGTAGCAGCACCAATGAAGGCCGGCACGGCACACGAGTAGGATCGGTTCAGATAATTATTGCCACTGACACACACACACGCGCTTATCATTATGAATGAGTTCACCCTCGCCATAGGAACGTGGAATTTACACCACTGTAAACCCGGCATTAGCACCACCCCACCCGTTGCAAATTTGAGCAGGAAATCACCGAGACTTAAATCTGTAATATTATTTCGATCTTGTTTATTTGATTTGTGTTTTCTCTGACAGGTCGTCTGAGATTTGTGAGCTTGGCTCGCCAAACTTCGCTCCTCGAGCGTGTGGTCGTCACGAGGGAGACAAAGGCGGCCGGGAGTGTGGTCCAATTGTCCCTGTGTGGTGCAATTCTATTTTCACGAAGGAAGGCGCTGCTGCTGCTGTGTGGTCTAGCCTAGGGGGGCACCCCCAGTGGCAGCTGCCCTTGTGTGGACCAAGGCGATCGTCTCGTAGGAAGGCGCTGCTGCTGCTGCTGTGTGGTCTAGCCTAGGGGGGCACCCCCAGTGGCAGCTGTCCTTGTGTGGACCAAGGCGATCGTCTCGTAGGAAGGCGCTGCTGCTGTTGCTGATGCTGCTGTGTCACAGACGCATCCTGCAGGGATTTCACAGTGCGGGGGGGGGCGATGTTGCTGGTGTTGTGGGTGGTCTGGTGGAGGGGGCACCCCCAGTGGCAGCTGTCCTTGTGTGGACCAAGGCTCATCATCACGCTGGAGCCAGATGCTGCTGCTGTTTCACACGAGACATCGCTAGCGGTAGTTTCACAGTAGGGGGGGGGGGCGATGTCGCTGCTGCTGCTGCTGCTGGTGCTGCTGTGTGGTCTAGCCTAGCGGGGGGGGGGGCACCCCCAGTGGCAGCTGTCCCCGTGTGGCACAATGCAAGGTGTGTGTGCTGAACTTTTTTTGCACCGGCGTTCATCACGCGGGAAGGCGCCTGCTGCTGCTGCTGTTTCACGGACACAGCGTGCGGCCGTCTTTAGATTTACGACTGCGGTAGTTTTAAAAAGAATGAAGTCTCGGCTGTGACGCCGGCAATTTTTGTCGTGCAATTTTTGTAATTGATCGGTCACGTGATCCTCAACGTGGTCGCTGTGCCATGGTCGACACGCGACACCACCGCAAAGTATTTACCGGGGCGGCCTGCGCAGCTTCGAAACCGCGGACCTCTGCAACGAACTGGGCCGCATCACGGACCCCCCCCCCCCCCACCCGGGGGTCTCTCTCTCTCTCCCGGAATCTTAAGGCCCCACGTGTTGTCTTTGTCACGGCCCGCTTCTGGCTCGCGTCTGGCTCGCCTCTGGCTTCGGGTTCTAGCTCGCCTCTGGCTCGCGTCTGGCCCGCTTCTGGTTCGCCTCTGGCTCGGATTCTGGCTCGCCTCTGGCTCGCCTCTGGCTCGCCTCTGGCTCGCCTCTGGCTCAGATTCTGGCTCGCCTCTGGCTCGGATTCTGGCTCGCCTCTGGCTCAGATTCTGGCTCGCCTCTGGCTCGGATTCTGGCTCGCCTCTGGCTCGGATTCTGGCTCGCCTCTGGCTCGCGTGAGCCGCGCGCGTTTTTTTAAACTCGAGCCGCCTCTGTAGCCATGGGGACCCAGCAGCCGCGGATCCAGGATTTCCAAGGCTCGGATTGAGCCTCCAACCCCGCGCGTCTTCGAGACGTGAATGCGCTTGGCGTTAAACGAAGGCACGGCCGAATCTCGACTTGAAGCTTTCGTGACTGCAGGAATTCGTTTTCTTTGGGTCTTTCGGTAACGCAAGCGGTCGTTATTCCTGATCATTCCTGATGACGAACGCTTGTGTTGCGATCGAAACGTCGTCCGTAGTTTTTTGTTTGTTATTTTCTTTGAAGCTATGCCTGTGTGTGTGTCTGTGTGTGTGTGTGTCTGTGTGTGTCTGTGTCTAGTGTGTCTGTGTGTGTCTGTATCTAGTGTGTCTGTGTGTGTGTCTGTGTGTAGTGTGTCTGTGTGTGTGTCTGTGTGTGTGTCTGTGTGTCTGTGTGTCTGTGTGTCTGTATCTAGTGTGTCTGTGTGTGTGTCTGTGTCTATGTGTGTCTGTTTGTGTGTCTGTGTGTGTGTCTGTGTGTGTGTCTGTATCTAGTGTGTCTGTGTGTGTGTCTGTGTCTGTGTCTATGTGTGTCTGTGTGTGTGTCTGTATCTAGTGTGTCTGTGTCTATGGGTGTCTGTGTCTATGTGTGTCTGTGTGTGTGTGTCTGTATCTAGTGTGTCTGTGTCTATGGGTGTCTGTGTGTGTGTCTGTGTCTATGTGTGTCTGTGTGTGTGTCTGTATCTAGTGTGTCTGTGTCTATGGGTGTCTGTGTCTATGTGTGTCTGTGTGTGTCTGTATCTAGTGTGTCTGTGTCTATGGGTGTCTGTGTGTGTGTCTGTGTCTATGTGTGTCTGTGTGTGTG